GTGTCAAGATCACCTTGCTCAGCCAAGCGGTCTAGGTACCGCATGAGACTGATGCAGTCATTGGTGTGATGACCAACGTCATCATGATAAGCACAGATTTTGTCTTGGTTCCGGTTGTTTGCAGAACCCTTCATGGGGAGCGGCTTCTCAATTGAGAGCCGTCCCTTTATTTCTTTCAAGATAAACTGGTTATCCTTGTTAAACACATACTTTGGGGAGTATGGTTTGAATTCTTTTCTCTTTTTCTGGGCCGGCTGTTTAGAGGGATCAGCCGCCCAGACCTCTTTTCTTTTCTCATCTTTGTTAGACGACTGTTTCTGTCGTCCTTCTCTTTTGTCGAACCTTTTCCCGTCCGACTGTTTTATCGTACACAGATCAGTCGCCTGTATATAGGCTTCTGCTTCAATCAAGGCCTCTTGAAGAGTCGCCACCCTTTTTCGAACTAAATCAAATTTGAAGGTAGACCCGTCTTTGAGACCTCTAAAAAAATCAGTATAAGCTACCTCATCCGGTAACCCTTGAATCTGTATTCTCATCAGGTTGAACCGCCTGATGTAAGAACGAAGCCCCTCCTTCTCGCCCTGCTGAATTGTTCCCAAATCAAGGGTCGTTTTCTTCGCAGGGATGTTCATTGCGAAGTTGGAGGCAAATAAGTAAGCAAGCGTCCTGAAGCTGTTTACACAACCAGTCGGCAGGTTGCCGAACCATTGCTGTGCAATTCCCTTGAGAGTCGCTGGGAAACACTTGCACCAAGTGGGATCATCCAACCCTTGAAGGTACATCAGGTTGGTGAATGCCATCAGATGGTCTTCTGGGTTAGTAGTGCCGTCATAGGCGCCTACTAGAACATTTTTTACTTTGGCCGGCTGAGCGGCTTCAGTAATTTCCTTGGAGAAGGCCGACGGCTGTTCACCAAGTCTAAGCAGCCGTAACTGCCAGTCCATAGGTTGGACGTTTTTTGCTGCAGGTCCACCAAATGGAGGTGGCTGCATAAAATACTGTTGTTGCGGCACAAATGGTAAGTTCGGTACCGCCTGGGCACTATGAAAGCCGGACTGACGGGAGGTGCCGCCTGACTGACTCTCATGGTACGACTGAGTATGCCTCATCGAGGCATTTCGCAAACTGTCCTGAAAATTTGAAGTAGAAGCCGACTCTGATAATCGGTCACTCTTCTTCTGCTCTAGCAGGTGCCGAGCATCTGTGAACGTTTGCTTTGACCCGTCCGCCTGAATATGACGAACCGGTTTCCTATTTCCCGTAGGATAGCGGAGTTTTGTGAAATCAAGAGCAGGTGGCTCCCGCTTCTTGGATTTAGGATGGGGAGTCGCCTCTCGCCCTTGAACTGGCTTCCTTTTCAGTGAAGTGGAAGGTTTCTTGGCCGACTGCTCTTTGACTGAAGCAGGCGGCTTTTTGTTGATCAACTCTTGAATCTCTCCCTTGAAGTCCCTCATGAAGGTCATGAGTTCGTTCCTTGTGATGGGAGCAGACCCATCAGTCGGCTGTTGCCGAGCAGGCGGTGCGCCTGCTGGCTCGCTTCCTGTGTGAAGATGCTCCCGTTCCCTCCTTTCGGTATGACGGGTACGTCGGGCCCTTAGGGTCCCGTCTGGAGCTGTATGAGTTTCCACTTCAAATTCACTTTCGGTATCATGGTCCGACTGAACTTGAGGGTCGTCTAGGGGACGCCTCTCTTCTGGAGTCGGTACAGACTTGGATGCCATCTCTGAAGTACTCTCCCCACAGACGGCGCCAAATGTTTCGGGGTTTTCTGATGTCCTGCGGGAGAGTTACAATTCCGAGACTGGAACCGGACGCCTGTACCTGCAAAATAACGGAGACTCCTGAGAGCTCCGCCTCCAACGGTCAAGTTAGTACCTGATTAAGAAGTAATCAATACAGAAATTAAAGTAATGAGATCTCTCTAGGTGAGAGTGCTTAGTGTTGGTAATCTGCGTTGTTAGCGAGATTAGCCGGTTGTTAATAACTCTGTTCTTCTCTGCTTGATTTCTTGATTGCTTGATTATTCAATCCTCTCTCTAATGAGAATTAATTAAGTATTTATAGCCTTGAGAAGCGTGCAACTCTCTAGGTTTAAGGTAAACCTAGGGCTGATCGGGCCTCTAGACTGGATTGGGCCTTGATGGCCGGTTTTCCCATTTGGCATGGGTGGACACGTGGCGTGCCTCGATTGGTCCGTAGAGGACGTATCTGTGATTGACACGTGGCAGGCTCCTATTGGCCTTCGTGAAGGACACGTGGCGGAACCTGGTTGGTCCACTTGTCAGACGGTGATTGGTGGATAAAAATCCCCTAATCAATCGCTGCAATAATTTTTTCCTTTTCAACAATGTTGGCTTATGAGGTGTTGCCATCTTTCTTGGCTCCATGCCTACGGTTGCATTAATATGTTTTGTGTCAAATAATTCCACACGTATAGCGTGCTCCCTTAGGCTTTTAGATTTTGTTGTTTTGAGTAAAGTTTTTCCCTTGACTTTTTGTTTCCCTTCTTAGAATTTTTCCTGTTTTTAGGCACATTCAAATAAATTTAACAAGATTATTTTTAGAAGAATTAAGAGACAAATTTTCAAATTTATCCTTAAGGCGATTAGCCTCTTCGGTTCTCATGTGGCTAATGAGCTCTTGAAGTATTATGTCGTTGTGGTTCAAAGAGTTGTGATAGTCATTCTAAGATGGAGGAAATTTCTCCAAGAGAACATTGGCTTGTAGGGTCTCACACATCTTCATGCCTTTACCAAGTTTTCGTTGTTATACTCATGATTGGCTTCTCATCATCCATCTTGAAGTTGATCCACTAACCCACCACATACTTCTTACCCGCATCATCCAAAGCATATTTCTTCTCCAAAGAATCCTAAGTGGCCTTACTTGACTTGAAATTGACAAACAAGTCAAACAAGGTGTTGCTCATATGGTGAGAAGATGACCACGAATTAGCTTGTTAACCTTTTCCTTCGAAGCTTCCGTTACGGTTGCCGGAATGGCGGTTGTTGCGGTGGTGTCTTCTTCTTCCGCCTTCTTGAGCACCTTTCACCAAGTTTTCGTAGTTATACCCATGATGGCTTCTCATCATCCATCTTGAAGTTGATCCACCTACCCACCACGTACTTTTCCTTACCCGCATCATCTGAACCATATTTCATCTCCAAAGACTCTAAAGTGGTCTTACTTACTTGAAATTGTTGAGGATTTTCTAGTAAACAAGGTCACATAGAAATATGGAAATGAAATTAACGAAATACTTTGAGGCGTGAACGGGATCACTTTCCCAAAAGTATAATTACGACCCTATACTACAGTCGGGTATCACGGAAATTACTTGGGAGATACAACGAATAACAATTACAATATCTTGTAGGATTATTGCAATTCAATGTATAAAAGTGTTTGTAATTTTGTGATAATGAACAACTGGTTATAACTTCCTATGCCAAAGTGATAAGATAGAAATAATATTTCATCTATATCCCTTCATCATAGGAGGAGTCTTATATATATATATATATATATATATATATATATATATATATATATATATATATATATATATAAACCGCAACAATGCATTCACTAAATAATGTATTAAGTAGTAATGCATTAACTGCCAAACTTTATCAAAAGATATGAAACCGAAACAATGCATTCGCTAAACGATGCATTAAGTCTTCAATTAATACATTTAGCTATAATGCATTAAGTAACTGCCATACTAAAATAAGAAATATCGAAACCGAAATCTTATGTAGCAGTTGACAAATAAGCCTCTTTCTTTCTTTCTCTTGATTAGTTGTATACTACTACCTTAATCATATGTTGTGTAAGTCATGACACCTTAACCAAATGACTTAAACTTAACATAACATAAATATAATCAACTAAATACTCCAAAATTCTCCAACACAAATTGACAAATAAGTCAAACAAGGTGTTGCTCATATAGTGAGAAGATGACCACGAACTAGCTTGTTATCCTTTTCCTTCTTCAAAGCTTCTGTTACGGTTGCCGGAATAACAGTTGTTGCGATGGTGTCTTCTTCTTCCGCCTTCTTGAGCACCTCAATGATGTCTTTATATAGCGGGGAGGGTTATTGTGTCATTCCTAAAAAAAAAGGCACCATAATAAGGTGACGTGGCATGTTATAGTTGGTCCATTTTTCATTTATTTTTAAAAAGCCAAAGTATACTTGTATAATTGTAAATACGTGTATTTTTTTAAATAATACATAATTATAGTATTTGAAAATCTATTTTTATTAATTAAAATCATTTTCGAAAATTAAATTATAATTAAAATTTAGAAAATCAAACATTCATCATTGTTCGTCATCATTCTTCATTCATGATCTTAATTAATCACCCCCAAAATCTTGTATAATCTAGTCGAAACTTAGACAAAAATTCCGACCAACAAGTCGTCCAAAGATCTCAATTTTTTCTGTAATTTTTTTTATTTTTTTACTTATTGTGCTTTACAGAATTTCCTCCCATAAGCATATTTCATTTACTCTATCTTAAGGTTTTCTCAAACCTTTTCATTTGTTATCCCTCACAAGTCACATCACCTCATAGGCTCTATTTGGTTCAACCTCTTGAAATAAAAAAAAATTCAAGAAAAATAAGGTAAAACAAACAAACCCTTGACCCTTTGTTGGAAAATTTCGAAAGATTTTTATTTTCTTACATCTCATTTTAGGGTTTCCACTTTACACCTCCATCATTTTCTTGCTTCCTATATTTTCCACTTCTACTTTCTCATGTTTCTTTGACTCATTTCTGTACTTTTTCAGTTGCATTTTTTGTGGATGATTCCTTGTGATGATTTATGTTAGCTGACCTTAAAATCATTTTTGAGACTAAGGTTTTATTGTTGTTGGTAGTTCAGCATCTTTCCTTGACACATACGATGATGTGGAATTAAAAATTTGTTGCTACCTTTAATATTCTTTATTTATTTTTTATTTTTTATTTTTTACCGTTTGAAGGTTGAAGATGAAGATGAAGATGATATTGAGGAATCTTCAAGTGCCTCAGAGGTCACATCCTACTTTTTTCTCAATTTCTTTCAACTTTATACCAGTGTCATTGTGTGCAGGGGAAAGACGGTAACAAATGTTGGGGTTCAACCCATCCTTGTTGATTTTTAGTTTTTGATTATAAAGTTTATTTGCTAGAACATTTTCCTGGTTAAGTTGATTGTGGACCACATCACTTGAGAAGAATAATTATGGCCAGAATAGTTGGCCTATTAAGGTTTTACACATTTGGATAGCAAGATGAAGGGAGGGGAAGGGAAAGACGAGGAAGGTGAGGGGGAAGGTGGAGCTCCATTTGCCCTCCAAACCACTTCAATTATCAAGGGATGGCGATTAATAGAAAGAAAGGGAAGTTGGATCCCTCCCAGCCTCCCCTATCCTTTTTTTCCAAACAAGGGGACTTGTTTCCCTCCCTTTCTCTCCATTTCCTTATCCAAACAATAGGTTAATGTTGCAAGGACTAGCTAAAGGAAGGATAAGGTGTTTTTTTCCCTTCTCAGGAGAGGTGATGGAGAGAAGAGGGGGGGGGGGGGTGGTGGTGAGGTTGCTTTTCATTTTGTACAGGTTAGTTTATACTGGTTTGTGGGTTCTTCTATTCCAAATCTAGTAGATTTTGGTGGCAGCTGGGTTATGTGTCAACTGTCAAGGCAGGTTATGAATGTCTGGATCAGCTCCAGTTGTGGTGTTTGTAGCTGTGTCAGGCCTCAGGCTCACTGACAGCACTACATATGGGATGCTTTCTTTCCAAAGAAAAAAAAAAAAAAGAAACGTTAATAATGCTTTCATGACCTGCTAAGTATTAGTAATAATAGTTGCTAAAATTCTTTGGCTTGATTCTTGCTTTTCTCCAGGAAATTGATGAAAGTGATGACAATTGGCAAGCTTGATATATTGTGGCTAATTATCTGTGATAGAAGGGTTGAGAGCTTTGTATGTAGGGGCTATCGCGTTTGCTGGATGCCAATGCATGGTGTTCCGTGACAGCCGTTGCATGTCAAACTTGGACGTTAGGTATTCATATATCTGCATCCATTGCTGTTTAGATTGTAAAATTGATGACTGCTTGACGGGCCGGGCATACAAATCAGCAACTCTACATGAAATCAGGGTGAAGTGGCTACTCATCCCATGAAAAATATTGATGTGTTTAAAAGTAGATTTCCCAGGACTTTTTGAGCATAAGTTTATAACACTGTTACTTTTATAGAGGAAATGATTTTCCAATATGGTGAGTTAACATTAGGGGAACTAGAGAGGCTGCATTTAAGTATGGTCTACCCTCTTCAATAAATAATTTGTGGGTTTATATCTTCAATTTTCATAGTTTATTTAGTCTTTGGTGACTCTGAAATCATGATCATTGCTTGCTACCATAACGCCATGATCCTCACCTTTTCTTTTGCTATTTTTCCATTTGCCTCACAGTCTACATTTATAGATCTGGAAAAGTGGAAGAGAAGACTGTGTCTGAAAATAGCAATTGTATAGTGTCTGGCCTTTAGTGTTGTTTGTAATCAGTCAAGATCGTTTATTGCTTAGCTAGCAATTGTTAGACCATTAATGGTTGCAAAAAGAGAGAGGAAGAAGGAAAGATAATGGGAATATTAGGTAATGTCAAAATATAGTTATGGACTTATTTTTTGAGAAAGTATTGGACATTACCATTACCAGTTATTCTCGGTGTCATAAGGCGAATTTTAAAGGGCAATTTTATGGCCTAGTAATCAAGTTCTGTTTGGATTTTTTTTTTTTTTTTTAAGTGACCCTGTGGACTGTGGTTAAGCTTTTCAATACGAGCCATTAGTTGCTGCTTTTGGGGCTAACCTAACTATATAACGAAGTATGATTGGTTGCAAACCTTTATCCTCAAATTACTAACTAAAGTTCTAAACCCTATTTAACACCTATCTTGATCAAATTTGACCACTCTACCAACCAATTAATCCAACAACTCACACACCACCACTTGAACCCTCTACCTTACCCATTTGCATTTAATTTTTCTCTCTTCTCTAGTCCTCTATGACCGCCCCACTTTGTTGCCGGATTGTTGTTGTCACTAATGTCGGGTTCTCAATTGTGTAGTAACTCCACATCAAGTGAGTTTATTTTATATTTATTTCTTCAATTTGATTGTTTGATATTAAATCATTAATACATGCAGACATTGGGATGAATAAGGAATTCTTTTGAATTTAAACATAACACCAAAACCGACTATGTGCCCATATTGATCGTACGCGAGTCTTATATTGACATTTAATATTTAGACATTTGAAATAGCGAACAAACAATAATATTGATACCTACATAACATCAAAACCGACTATGGTTTTGATTAATTACGCTTAAAGAAAATCTTAATTGTTACAAGTGCATTATGTCATCAACTCAGTTCTTACAGATAGTGACGTGTAAAATTTAGTTGTACCACAAAACATAAGTATCAAAAATTGTTTTGATTAATCACGTAAAAGAATAATAATTACTTGTCACTAATGAGTTATACAATCCAAATAAAAAAGGATCCTAAATCATTTTTCCAATCAACCTTATTAAGTGTTGTATTTGTTAAAATACACTAATAATGGTTAAAGATTTGATGAATTATAATTATGTAGAAAGTAATACGATTGAATTTGAAGGTGTGTTGGATAGAATACAAGGGTTTATTTCATCTATGGACAACAAAAAGGGTTCAGTGATTGTCAAAGTATTTTATTTAAAAATTTATCTTTTGGCCCATTTGATGCACAGGCTATTAAATGTACAATGAGAAATCAGCAGAAGCAGGCATGGCCGTATATCGGTGTGCACAGGTACAGGGCCCCCAATAATAAAGGCATAAATTTTAATGGCCCGTTTTTTATTTGTGATTTTATTACTGATACAACCGGATCTTTTAATTATCCTCATAATTTTTTCTTTCTTTAATTTAATTACCTTGACTTCTTTTCTTCTTCTTTTCTTCTTTTTTTGAAATAAGTCCTAAAAGACATTAAATTTCCTTAATGAAAGCCATACGACATCTATAATTGACAATTACCGATAATTAAAACAAATTTAACAAAATCAAACAAGAATTAACCGGAGAAGAGCTAAAAATCCAAATACATAGATATATCAATTCGACACATTCTCGATTTGTTGTCTCATACAACTTTTTGAGTGGATCTGTCGCCGCTTCATAATTTGATTTTGAGAGAAAATTCTTGTGGTGATTTCGTAACCCAAATCCGAACAATAATCAATCGTAGCCTCACACAACTAGAGATCATATTAAGCGCAAATAAAACCTTGTCTTTCGAAGGAGTTCGAAAAATCTTGTCTTTCAAAGGAGATAAAAAAAAACCTTGTATTTCGAACGAGATAAACCAGTTCTTTCGAGGGAGACATTATTATAACCTAAGAAACAACAAAATAAAAAAAAAACGTAAAAGAAACAAAGATTGGGGCTTTTCACCAGTGAAATTCGATGGAAGCCCTTCAAAATTAACAATGGAGGTTAAAGTTTAGGAGAGAGGAGAGGCTAGGTTTTTTTTTAGTGCTACAATACGATTTGCAATTACCTTGACTTCTTAAAAGACGATTAATTATTCCTTCAATTTTGATTCTATCATTCTAACGCCAATTTATCTCTCTAGATTCAACCTTCCTTCTTCAATTCTCTTAATATCTTGTTTTTTCTTCCTTAAATTTGTCATTTAATTATTATTTCTTTACCAAAATTTTATCATTCAATTCCATTATTTTTCCTCTTTCCATGAAACTTCAATTATATATGGGAATTCAAAATGTTTCCCCATATCTACACTAATATACTATAGCAACGGGAGTGAATAAATAAATTTCAATATTTGTAGATCTTTTTTTTACAACCGTTGAATTTTTCCCCTTTTTATATCTTTCAAAATTTGCTACTCTTTATCAAAATTACATCAGTATGGTTCAATGGTCGTAAATTGGTGAGTCTCTGTCTTTCACTCTTTTTCTATAATTAGGGAGAAAGTTTGATAATTTGATTAATTTTGCTGCAATGCTAGTATATACTACTGTAGTCTGCCGACATCTAACCTTTTATTAGTTTTTTTTTTTTTTTTTTTTTTTTTTTTTTTTTTTTTTTTTTTAAGGTTGAATTAAGAAAGGAATGGTGAAGCTTTGAGGATGGTATGGCCAAATTCGATTTGATATGATGCATGTGTTTTATTTTAATCAAAGTTCCATTGAGTTACTACTTTATTATCTAATGAATAAAAAACTCTAAAAAAAACCGAATTTTGTGCTTATCAAAATTTATCGAAAATTTAAATTCTTAGCTTATAGACATTTAAGTTAGTATAAATTATAAATACTATAGTATATTAAATTAAAGTTTAGAACAGGCCTCCTAAACTTCCGAGACGGCCCTGCAAGCAGGTAATGATTTATCAAGGAGCAATTTCTCCAAGACATTTGTCGACATTGATGTTGGTTCTTCTATCGACAGTGGATGGAAAGTATGACTATTCAAAGTGTATACCTTTCAAACTGAGAGTGATACTTAATCGGATTCAAGGCCACATCAAAAGAAGCCCCGAATTATATTGGCGAAAAGGGTCAGACAAGGAACATACTTTTGCACAACAACAATAAGTGATAATGTTCTTAAAAGACATTTTGATCAATCAACTCAACATAGAGAATTTTTATGAAGAAATTATGAGGATGGAAGAATTGTATTATTGCAAATTTGGTCATTTGGGGGAGCGTGAAATGCTTGCAAAAGAAATTTTGACATAAATTGCACCAACACGCCAACTTTGAAATGATAAGTTTGTCAAGTCCCTAAATTGACTCGTAGCTAACCAACATGCTTTTCACATTATGATATCTCCATAAAAATCCCTATTGTTTGTCATAGAATTTTCAAATATTTACTTGTTAAAATTTAAAATATTGACATGATATCCAAAATTTATTAAATTTTCGGGATTGTTATTCATTTAACTTGTACCAATTAATGTGGTTCACAATGTTAAATAACAATAACTTAACAACTAATGACATGTGGTAAACAGAATCAAAGAAAAGCAACACGTGGAAAAATGACTTTCCACACAAGAAAAGCATGGAAAATTAAACTAAATTTGAATTTTTCTCCGGAAAATTGTTTTCAAACATGATGTCCATGGTTAACTATTTTCCATTGAAATTGTACTCCGTGAAAAACAAATAGCCTCGGTGAAAAAGGAGATAAAAAGAATTTACAGAAAATTAAGAAAGGAGATCAAGAGGTGAGAAAACAGGGAAGAGTGATTTCCTCAGAGATGGTAAATTTCCAACAATTTCTTATCAATTTCTCGACAACATAGTGTTCAGCACCACTCAGCAGTGGCGCTAGTGGATGGTAGTTTTGATGAATGTGGGATTGGTGGAATCTCATGGGTTGAGACAGTGATAGTAATAAGATAGCAAGGTTGAAGTGGGTGCTTCGATAGTTAATGGGACCAACAACATGGACAAAGATAAAGTACTTTCCAATGTACGACTTTGTTCACATTGACGATAAATGGTTCAACTTGACAAGAAAAGTCAGGGGTGTTATTTGTCAAAAACAGAGAAGGGCACATACACATCAGGGCAATCAAGCACCAAAATGCCAAAGGCAATGTTCATATCAACTACTGCAAGACCAAGGTTTAGAGGAGATGGGTCGTGCTACTTTGATGGGGGATTTAGCATATTCCCTTTCACTTTTGAAGATGTTGTAAAGAGGGACTCAAAGTGTTTCGGGGTTTTTTGATGTCCAACGGGAGAGTTACGATTCCGGGACTGGATCCGTGCGCATGTACCTGCAAAACAACGGAAACTCCAGTTGGTGGGAGCTCCGCCTCCGACGATCAAGTTAGAACGTGTTTTAGGAGTAAAAGATGCGGAAAGGTGATCTGGTTCCTCCGAAGAGAGGAGTGATCAGGCTAGTTGCGGTGGGCAACCTTGGTAAGAGTGCAATTAATGCTAAGTAAGGTCTAGCAATTAGTATGCACGTGGGATAATCTCTGTATTAGTTAATTTCTTTAATGGAGGCTAATTACATGTATTTATAGCCTCGAAGTACGTGCCCAATACTAGGTTAAATGGTAAACCTAGGACTGATTGGGCTTGCCTTGGGATTCGCGCCTTATTGGCCGTTTTCCAGGTTGGCAATCTATGTGCCACGTGACGTGGCTTGATTGGTCCGTGTTGGACCTCCTGGAGCATGACACATGGCAGCCCCTAATTGGTCCACGTGGTTGACACGTGGCAGGTTATGATTGGTCCACGTGGCGGGGAAAAATTCCCTAAACATTTGCCCTTCACAAGGGTCACGTGACT